ACAAGTAGCTGTATGTGAAGAGGGAAACTCTTCCCCTAATAGAGAATACACAATGGCTCAGAAAGGTGACTCCCAGGAGAATGCCAAGTCCTGCTACTCTTTACACTCTATGCCTGCACACAGTGGGGACACATGGAAAGGCAGTGGAAATCTCTGCCATACTGCTTTGCTGGCATAGTCATTGGCTACCTTTCCTGAGAATAATTTAAACTCCCTCCCATCATATCTACTTTATGAATGGAAGTTTGAGACCTTTAACGCTCAAAAGGGCGGTAGAGAAACGGCCGAGTGGTGAAGGTTCTTAGGTGCAGAAAAGAATACCAGAGTTCACACTCCCAGCACCCACCTAAATACTGGGTGGAGATGGAGGCCTGCCTGTAATTTCAGCCTCTTGACTTGGAGACAGAATTCCCCCGAGAAAAGCTGGGTAGTAAGACCACCCTTACCGGTGAGCTCTGAGTTTGACTGAGAGACCCTGCCTCAAAGAACAAACTGAATGATGACTGAGGAAGATACCCAGATCAACTCTGGGTCTTTATATGCACATGGGTATGCGTGTTCACGTGTTCACATGTACACACACACACACGTGAAGAGAGGAAAAACAGTTCAAAGTAGCTAGGGCTGTGGCCACACTGTCAGAGTGCTTGCCTAGCATGCAGGAAGGTCTAGGCTTACCTTGCCTAGCATTACTTAAACTGGGAATCGTGGCTCATGCCTATAAAGCAGCAATGGGGAGGTGGGGGCAGATCAAAACTTCAAGGTCATCCTCAGCTACATGTCTGAGTTCAACACTAGCCTGGGCTACATGAGACTGTCTCGGAGTAGGAGCATGGGGAGCTGTTGCGACTCAATGATTCCTGCCTGGCTTCCTAGTTTATAGAAGTATATCCTGTACAGTCTCTGATTACTAATGGGTCAGCATCCAGCCACTGGAAAACAGTGCTTGGATATCCTCAGGGCATCAGAGCTGTCTTTAAAAATCTTCTGATACTGGGCCAGCCAGAGAAATGGCTCAGCAGGTAAAGGTGTTTGCCATGCATACATAACAACTTGAATCCAATTCCTGGAACCCATGTGAAGACGGAAGAAAAGATCCAACTTCACGAAATTATCCTCTGGATTCCATGTATATGCCCTAGCACATGCCCACTCCATATGTGGCATGTATGTATACACAAACACGAATAACAAATGAAAAAAATCTTATTTATTCATTTCTAAAGAGAAAGGATTGTAAATGTGGCTTGTGTAAGATTACTTATAAATCACACGCATGTGCTACAGTAATAAATTATTAACTTCAGAATAAATTACACACACACACACACATATATACAATGGATAAGAGAATTCCAATAACAAATTACACCATCAGGTCCATGTTCCCCAATATATCAGCATGTTGCAAAACCCACAGAGTTTGTCCTATTCTCACTTGAAATCACTATATTAAAAATTCAGAAAAATATAGAGATGGTAACAAAATCCAGACCCATCCCTCAGGCAAGACTTCCTGGTCCACAAGAGTAAAGGAATGAAGAAATAGACCTGGGGTAGAAAAGTCTGTCCCCTTGACCTCAGACGCACCTTGACACACACATATAAGCTGCTCTAGAACTCACTCCTGCTAGCTCCCTGCTCAAGAATGTCACCTTCAGGACCAAGAAATATGACAAGGCAAGAGCATGAATCAGCTGGAAGGGCTCTCACGGGCCAAGTTTGAACTCAATAGTGCGTGTCCAACCAGTCTTTAGAGGATTAATGAGATGAGCTCCTCTTAAAAGTCTTCTGGGAAGCAGAGAAATCAATGTGTCCAAAGCTATATATTCTCTTCTTCCTTGGCAGCAATGCCCCTGCCCTCATCACTCCCTGCCATGTCAAATTACAGTATAATTACCTTTTTAACACGTCGGCTCAAAGCCCTTCCAGACACCCCAGGAGAAATGTTTAAGGAGGTTTTTTTCAATCTATGCCTCTTTTTGGCACAGCATTAACAAAGCCAGAGCAAACTGCATGAGCACACTCAAGCAAACTAAACACACCACAATAAAATGTTAGAACCTAAAAATAATGACTAAGCAAGCATTTTCCCCAGCAAGTCCTAATGACCAATCCTCTCCTGGGAGTAACAGGAAGAGTCCAGCAGGACCGCTGTGGAACCCATACATGAATGCTTACTCAGCCACAGCAGAAAGCCAAGTACCAAATACAAGTGCCACAAAGGCAAAAAAAGGGAAAGGGGAGAGAGAAAGGGGACAAAGCAGGAGCGGGAGAGCCAGAGGGAGAAACGGAGACTATGAATGACTATGAACATGGTTGGGAGAGAATGAATTAAGCCACTTAACCAAGGCCCAGAAGGAGCTCAAAGATGAGAATTTGCAGGATGTTTCTATTGAGGACTACTTTCACATCTTTATGGAGACAAGAGATCCTTAAGTAAAATCATCCCAGTCAAGACCTTCTGTAATTGCAAAGGCAACTGTCTGGCTCTCAGAGTCTAAAGTAGTTATTACCCAGCATGGATAAGATAGTCGGTAATGAAAAGAGACCTTTTATTTTATCTTTGACACAGTGCTTCACCATGTAGCTCTGGCTGGCCTGGAATGCTCTATGTAGAACTAGGCTGGCCTTGAACTCATAGCGATCTGCCTCTGCCTTCCAAACCCTGATATGAAAAGTGTGTGCCACAACACCTGGCCAAAAAGAGTCCTTTTAATTATCCAACTGAGCAGAAAAAGAATAGGGATCTTCATCTACCCCATTAATTCGGTGTTTGCAAATAAACTGAAAGCTCAGCATCCCTGAAGTGGGTAAACAAATCTACTTGCAGGGAGAGTCTGGTGGCCCTGAAGACAGATCTTGGTACCAGCTACTTTGCATCTGCATCACAGGGCTCCCTTAGTTTCCTTCTGAGGACGAGTGAGCAATCGACTCAATGGATGAGCAGCAATTCGTAGGGCCAAACTGTATGACGTACTAACAGGCCCTGATCATTAAGGATGCAACGCAGAAATGAAGTGCAGAAACGCCTCCAGTGTCATGCACTAAGGTGTCCTACGCTATCTCCACTTCTGCAGGTCCATGTGCCCCCCGCTAAGTACAGTCCACTCACTCCTGGGGTCCCGGAGACTCACTTGGCCTATTCACATGTTCAAAACCATTTCGTGACCCTAAAGTGAAAACGTCTCCTTTTTGCTGTGTTGCCACTTGCCAGTGCAAGAGCTGACAAGGCAAGGCAGCAGCAGCCTGCCCATCTCTGCCCTCTCACCCCGACTGTCACACTCACTGTTTGGTCTTACCTATCAGTCTTGTTTTCGAATGTTCTTGATGAAGATAAGTAAATTGCTCATCCTAGGGTATCTAGGCACCCACATGGAGAATCCCTTTCAATATTCTGTGTTACAAATAGCAAAGTATAAACACAGCACTTCTCCAGTCTCCCAAAGAGATAATTCTCGTAGCACAAAGTATGAGTGAATGGAGGTTGTCGGCAAAAATAGTTCCCTTTCCTTGCATGTCACACACACACACACACACACACACACACACACACACACACACACACACACACAAAGACATTCCATTGTTACTCAGATTAAGACTGAGGAGGAGCTGACAATTACTCTAAAGTTAACAGGTGAAAGTAACTTTACAGCAATCACTGGGCATATAGAGGTCCCAGAACAACCTCTGCCGTTGGCCCTTGACTAGTACCTTCTTTTATCGAAGGTGTGGTGGCTTCTTTTAATTGTCAACTTGACACAATCTACAAAGACAGCCTCTCTGACAACCACCCAGGTCAGGCTGGCCTGCAGGTGTGCCTGTGAGGGATTTTCTTAATTTGGTTAATGAGCTGTGAGGAGCCACCGACTATGGGTGGCACCGACTCACATTTGTGTAATGCAGAGAATGCTTGCTAAGCATTAAGCGCGGATGTACTCATCTCATTCTGTGATTCAACTAGCTGTTTTAAGTTCCTGCTGAAGACTGGCAGTAACCTGGAACTGTGAACGAAAATAATTTTTTTCTCCCCTAAACTACTTTTTTTTGGGGGGGGGGGGGAGTCTGGATATTTTCTCACAGCAACAAAAATCAAATAAGGACACAGAGTCTCTTACTGTTTGCCACTGAGTGCCCCAGGCTAGCTGGCCCCAAAAACCTCCAAGGACTCTCCTGTCTTCTGCTTCTCTCCCATCTCACGTTAGGTTCCCTGCAGCATCTGGCTTTTTCATGTGGGTTCTGAACGCAGGTTTTTGTGTTTGCATCGTAAGCACTCTATCCACTCCGCTAGCTCCCAGAATGCTATTCCACTCCCTCAATTCAAGTCAGGGGTGAGAAACTATGAAAAAAAAAAGTCTTTCAAAATGACTTATACCATGCTCTGATTATCAACATCACCAGGCAGATACTGACAAACTAATTTTCAACAGTATGTGCATATATAAAGAAGAAATTCCCCAGGCCTAATGAAGTTGTAACAAAAAATCATTGGTTAGAAACTAAACATAAACTTTCACCAGAAAAATGCTATCATAAAGTACTAACTTGGTACAATAGAAGTGTATTTTGTAGAGAGCCGATCAAATGGACTTTTAAGATGTATTTTTAATTTATATGTATGTGTGTATACATGTATGTGCAGGTTCCCTCGGATGCCCCACTCAAGCTGGAGTTACAGACAGCTAGGAGCTGCCCAACATGGCTGGTGGGAACAGAATCTGGGTCCTTTCCAGGAGTAACATGTACTCTAACTGATGAGCCATCTTTCCAGTCCCTCAAATGAGCTTTCATAAGCTATATCCACTGCAAACATGGACTTCAGTCCTGGGTACACAAAGGCACCTCCACAGGTCATCTGTGGCGATGAGAAAGCATCTCTGCATGCTCCCTTTATAGAAGGATTCTTTGAAGGCTGCCTTTGTCCCTAGGGGACAACAGAGAGTGCCAGCCCTGAGAACAGGAAAGGGACAAAGGAAAGGAGGAGAGATGGGGCTTACCTGTGCTCAAGATGACTGAAGTCCTGTAAATTTAATTCCCTGGTGTCTTGTGTCAGATAAATTGTATCCACATCCTGTTTAAAACAAAACTCAGTTAGAAAATTAATCCGTGCACACAGAGAAGCCAGACAACCGCAGAGAACTGGATAAGGACACAGGCAGATTTTTGAGTAATCTGAACAACAACAACCAAATAACCTCAATGAACAAAATAAACAAATGAGCGGTGGGACGGAGGGAGGGCCGAGGGGGAAAGGGATGCTAACTTACTATATGTTGAGCACATGAGCAGGCTCACTTACCCACTGCACTTCTTCCCTGTATGAAAATCCCAGCCAGTCGCACACACAGGCATACATCTGGGAAAACCCACCTGAAGCATGAAGCAGAAGTGTTGATGTTGACAGGTTTGCAGCAAAACAATGTTACATCACAATTTTACAGCTTCGGTCTGGCAGCTGCTGGCAATAGGACTCTCTTTCCCATCCAGAGAAGCAGCAAGGATTCTCCCCAGCTCCGTGGTGCATACATAGCAGGCTGCAGCCGGCCTTAAATATAGGACTTCTGTCCACCAATCTAAAGTCTGTGCATGCTAATTACACCTCGAACTAATTGCACCTCTACAGTAGCATCCCAGGAATAGACTTGGCTTCCTGGCAGGGGGACGGGCATCCAACCCCTTACATTTTAGTTTAAAATGCATGCTCACCACAGGGGCCTGGCTCAGCCAAGGTCTGGCTGTCCCACAGGGCCTGGAGACTGGCCAGGCGCTCAGATGGCTCCATGGAGACTTTCTTCATGATCCTCCTGAAAGATTAACACCAACAACACATTTCAAAGCTCATGTTTTTGGAACAATACATAGACTTTTATTTAGTGGTGTGCCCTTTTTGTTTGTTTAAAACAAAGATGGGTGTTACTTCAATTCTGGTCAAAATAATTCAATTGCTTGGGAAATGTCAATCTATACGAACGTACTGATATTTTGACTCACTTTTTCTTGCATATACAGGCACTGAAAATTATTTTCATGTTGTTCTCTGATGCAAAATTTTTGTTGCAATACCTAGAAAATATCGCTCTTGGGGTGATGGGTGTGGCTCAGTTGGTAAAGAGGTTGCCTAGCATGCAAAATGCTGGGTTCCATCCCCTGTGCCACATAAGCCTGAAGTAGTTGTACATATCTGTAATACCAAAAAAAGTAGTTGTACATATCTGTAATACCTTGAAAAGTGCAATAAGGAGGATCTCAAAGTCATCTGTGGTTACACAGTGAACTTGAGCACAGCATGGAATACATGAAACACTGTTTCAAAAAAGAAAAAGTACTGTATTTAATAATTACAGTATTGTATTTTATGAGTTATTATACTGTACGTCTACCAAATACGTGTGACCAGCTTAGATGAATTAAAGCACAAATCTCCTCTAAGTCCATGCTCTGTGCCCTGTGCAAGTGTTCATCAAAAGACGGATCATCTCTTGTTGAGTAGCAGATTTTTGGCTCTGTGCTGCTGGATGAAGCCTGGATCCCACTCCTCCCACCTCTTCCTCCTCAAAACATAATAAAACTCCTGTCTATTCACACAGTGGATAAAAACGTAGCTCTGTGCTGCTGAGAGGGCTCGGCTGCTAAGAGTTCATAATTGCTCTCGCAGAGGGCTGGTGTTCAAATCCCAGGACCCACGTCGGGCATCTCACGATATCTGCCGCCCCAGCGCCAGCAGATTCACCACTTGTGGTCTCTGTGGGCACTGCGCACACGTGCACTGACACACACAGGCATATAATTGACAAAAACAAAAGATGTAGCCTGCCTCCCCAAACCGCCATTATTCATTACGTGGAAGTGATAAAATAAGGAGATTCATATCTCACAGGGATGCTGTGAGAACAGAAATGAACACACACATTACTTCCGAAAACAACAGGCACATGGGAGAACCTCAAAAATGTTAGCAGGTATTGTTAACGTGATCCCATCCACTTCTGAATTCATCCAAAGATTGGCTAAAGGTCTATATTGTGCTAGGGTCTACTTTCAAGTCAGGCTGTGAACAAAATCCACTATATATATAAGTTTGTTTGCTGTTGTGAGGTTAATTTATTTTGAGCCAGAGTTTCACTATGTGACCCTGGCTGTCCTAGAACTTAGGACATTGTCCAGACTAGCCTCAGATGTACCTATCTCGACCTCCTGTTTTACTTAGGGTTTCTATTGTGATGAAACACCATGAGCAAAGCAACTTGGAGAGGAAAGGGTTTATTTGGCTTACGCTTCCAAAACACTGCAAAGGAAGTCAGGACAGACACTCAAACAGGGCAGAAACCTGGAGGAGCTGATACAGAAGCCACGGGGTGGGGGCTGGGGGTGGGGCAGTTGCTGCTTACTGGCTGGCTTGCTCCTCGTGGCTTGCTCAGCCTGCTTTCCTATAGAACTCAGAACCACCAGCCCATGGATGCACTGCCACAATGGGCTGGGCCCGTCAATCACTACTTAATAAAATTCCCTACAAGTTTTCCTACAGCCCAGTCTTAGGGAGGCTTTTTATTAATCTGGGTTCCCTCCTCTTTGACTAGTTGTGTCAAGTAGACATAAAACTAACCAGCACACTTTCTGAGTACAGGAATTAAAGGAATGTGCACTAATGCCCAGTTGTGATTTGTTTGTTTGTTTGTTGTTTGTTGATATGGGGTTTCTCTGTGTAGCCTTGGCTGTCCTGGACTCGATTTGTAGACTAAGCTGGCCTTGAACTCGCAGAGATCTACCTGCCTCTGTCTCCCCGAGTGCTCAGATTACAGTTACGGGTCCGCTGTGATTTAAATGAGAAATGTACCCCAGAAGGTAATATATGTAAACACTCAATTTCCAGCTAGTAGCACTGTGTGGGGAGGGGCAGTCCAGGGGTGGGCTTTGAGAGTTTAAAACCTTGCTCCCTGTTTTCTGTGTGTGGTTGGGGATTTGGTTTCTCAGCTTCCTGCTCCTGCTACTTGTTGCCAAGCCTCCCTGCCATTAGGAACTCTCCCTTTGGAACCATAAGGGAGAATAAACTCTTCCTCCTATAAACTGCTTTGGGTATTTTATCACAGCAACTAATACATCCTCCAAGCTAGAACCCAGACTGGCCATGATAGTGTACACCTGTATGCAGCACATGGGAGAGTGGAGACTGAGGCAGGAGGATTGATGAAATTGGAAGTAGAGTTGACACAGACAGCAAGTACCAGGCCAGGCAGTACAACATAGTAACATAGTAAAACACTGTCTCAAAGAGAGTATGAGAGCAGGCAATGGAGGAAGACGCTAATATTGCAGGAAAATGTTAATGTGAGCTGCTGGGTAAACAGAGAAACGGTGCTGCATCTCCTCTCCAATGCACACCATCTCCAGCGCACACCACAGCTGAGAAACATCTGGAATGCTTTGGGCAGAGAGCTAGCAGTACTGAAAAATATTCAGATTTTAGAGCATGTTAGATGTTGATTTCCAGTTAGGAAGGCTCAACTTGGACACGTTTGCAAAGACTTAAAGGAAGATACAAAGAGATCATCAGGTGAGGACAGGGGTAGCAGTGAGAACTGCAGCTAGAAAAAAATAAAAAGTGTTTCAGATAAAGGGAAGCATGTCTGCTACATAAGAAAGACCAGGCCCACCAGAGTCTCCATAGTTCAAACTAGGCAGCAGAGAGGGAGAGGATGTCCAGGTAGCTCAGCACTAACCAGGGCCGGGGCCATGGAGAGTCCTGCCAGTCAAACTAAAGAAGTTAAGAACTCTGGATTACATTGTCAGGGCAGTGACAGGAGAGCATGGGAAAAAGGAAGAGTCAGGCAGCCAAGCTCTGGACACACCTCCATAGGGGAGAAGAAGGACAGCAAAAGAACACTGAGAGGCCAGATAAAACTCTTGCCAAGTATGAAAGCCATAGTTTGTTTGTTTGTTTTTTAAGACAGCAAGTGAAACAGCTGCGGCTTTTCTCCTGGAGCCTTCTGGGGCCTAAATGTGTATGGAAAAAGGACCAGCCTTCCAGGGGCCATGTCAGAGAAATGGTGGGGACAGGAGTAAAGGACACAAACAAGGACATCCTGAAGCGATGGGCACTGTGGACCTGCTGGTTAAAGTGCAGAGAGAACGAAGGGGAAACAAAATCAAGACCTATACAAACATGAGACCATTAAAAAGGGCAAATTCCAAGGCCATGAGAAGTAGCTTACACCTGTAATCCCAGCACTAAGGAGATAAAGGCGGGAAGAGTTCAAAATTAATCTCTGCTATAAAGTGAATTCAAGGCCACCTTTAGTTACATGAAGTTTTTGTTGTTGTTGTTGTTGTTGTTTTCCTCTCCCAAAGACAGAGAGAGGTAGAAGAAGGGAAAAAGAAAAGCCCAAACCCAGGTAGTTCCAAGGACAAGAAAGTAAAACAAGGACCAAAGGTTATGTCATCGGAGGAGAATGACTAAATGACTAGTGCACCATGGGAAAAGATGCCCCAGAGGTAGGGCAGTGCCACAAGCTGGGAAAGATCAGCTGTAAAGGACGGGGCTGTTGGTGACTCAGATTTATGGCACAGTTGAGTGTGTCCTGGGGAAACGTGGAAGGGCCTCAGGCTGGGGGTACTTTGGTGCCGTAGGTGTTTCTGAGGATCTACAGTTGGGGATTTCACATATGTCACTCCCACAGCAAAAAGCTTCATTTATTTACTTATTTGGGGGAGTTCTGAAGCAGTGTCTTAACGTGTAGCCCAGCCTGGCCTAGACTTCACTACATAACTCAGGCTGCCCTTGAATTCCTAGCAATATTCCTTCCCGCCTCATTGTTCCCAGGTATTTGGGACAAAATGAGCCATCAGGGCCAACGATGAAGATAAACTTTTGCAGTATTTTTAATACTTTTGTGGACAGAAGGTTGATGGTTGGATGGGTCTGGAGAGATGGTTCACTAGATAAGAGCACTTGCTGCACAAACTGCAATGTGACCTTGGTTCAAATCCCTAGCACGTTTCCACACCCTCAAAATCATTCTAGTTAGGTTGATTTTCTGATGGATGGATTCCAGATAAAATCTTTGGGAATCTGCCACGCTGCCTGGGCAATCTCTCTATTCCCACAGATGACTCCCATACACACCAATATTAAACACAAGCAGACGGCTGCCACTTCATAGTGTTTATGACTAGGGTGAAATCAGGTAGACTCGGCTGCCATCAGAGGCTTTCTAGTTCTTTAAGGCCCACATAAACATAAACACCCCAGATCTGCAGGTATAGCATGGCTTCTCCTCACTTACTTAGACATGTTTATACTGAGTCCTATTATTCCAAGGCCCTTTAAATTTGGGGGTGGCGCGGTTTTTAAAAAGGTGTTCACAAGTAAATGGTGTAACAGAATCCAGCGATTTGGGAAAATTCATTTTGTTCCAATACCATCATTCTAGCACATCATTATTTCCTGGCTATGTTAAAACTGGGAAGCCAGATGTCCTACAAAGAAATAGTGAGGCCTCTGGAAGCAGCCCAGAGCACTCGGGCAGCAAAACTGAGTTAACTTCAACCTAGTGAGCAGGACGTTTGTCTGACTTTATTATTCGGCATCACATTCGCCTTTACAAATTCTTGCTTTGCCTGTGTAGAACTGCAGGCCATGGTCTTCCAATGACACATGAGACAGGGAAGCAAAGGTTGGTAGAGAGAAAAGCAGAAATCACTGGCCAGGTGCCGGTGAAATGAATTTAAACATGGTTACCATGGATTGCATTACTATGCATCCCAAGCTTATGTCTTTAGTGTGGCATGACGGGATGGTAAGACCGCT